AAAGCCACAAGGAAGAAAATAAAAATCACCTGAAATCCCACTAACCTAAGATAGTCACTATTATCATTTTTTTCATACTTTTCTCTATGCTTAGCCCTGTACATGCACACACACAGTTTTTATTACTATTATACTTTAAGTTCTGGGATACTTGTGGTGAACATGCAGGTTTGTTACATCGGTATACACATGCCATGGTGATTTGCTTGCACCCATCAACCCATCATCTACATTAGGTATTCTTCTAATGCTATCCCTCCCCTAATCCCCCACCCCCTGACAGACCCCAGTGTGTGATATTGCCCTCCCTGTGTCCATGTGTTCTCATTGTTCAGCTCCCACTTATGAGTGAGAACATGCAATGTTAGGTTTTCTTTTCCTGTGTTAGTTTCCTGAGAATGATGGTTTCCAGCTTCATCCAGGTCCCTGCAAAGGACATGAACTCCTCCTTTTTTATGTCTCCATAGTATTCCATGGTGTATATGTGCCACGTTTTTTTTTCATTCGGTCTATCATTGATGGGTATTTGGGTTGTCCAAGTCTTTGCTATTGTGAACAGTGCTGCACTAAACATAAACGTGTGCATGTGTCTTTATAGCAGAATGATTTGTAATCCTTTGGGTATATACCCAGTAATGAGATTGCTTGGTCAATAATGGTATTTCTGGTTCTAGAATCTTGGGAAATTGCCACACTGTCTTCCACAATGGTGGAAGACACTCCCACCAACAGTGTGAAAGCATTCTTATTTCTCCCTATCCTCTCCAGCATCTGTTGTTTCCTGACTTTTTAATGATTACCATTCTAACTGGTGTGAGATGGTATCTCATTGTGGGTTTAATTTGCATTTCTCTAACGACCAGTGATGGTGAGCTTTTTTTTCATATGTTTGCTGGCTGCATAATGTCTTCTTTTGAGAAGTGTCTGTTCATATCCTTTGTCCACTTTTTGATGGGGTTGTTTTTGTCTTGTAAATTTGTTTAAGTTATTTGTAGATTCTGAATATCAGCCCTTTGTCAGATGGATAGATTGCAAAAATTTTCTCCCATTATATAGGTTGCCTGTTCACTCTGGTGATAGTTTCTTTTGCTGTGCGGAAGCTCTTTAGTTTAATTAGATCCCATTTGTCAATTTTGGTTTTTGTTGCCATTACTTTTGGTGTTTTAGTTATAAATCCTTTGCCCATGCCTATGTCCTGAATATTATTGCCTAGGTTTTCTTGTAGCGTTTTTATGGTTTTAGATCTTACATTTAAGTCTTTAATCCATCTTGAGTTAATTTTTGTATAAGGTGTAAGGAAGGGATCCAGTTTCAGTTTTCTGCATGTGGCTAACCAGTTTTCCTAACACCATTGATTAAATAGGGAATCCTTACCCCATTGCTTATTTTTGTCAGGTTTATCAAAGATCAGATGGTTGTAGATGTGTAGCATTATTTCTGAGGCCTTTGTTCTGTTCCATTGGTCTATATATCTATTTTTATACCAGTACTATGCTGTTTGGTTACTGTAGCCTTGTAGTATAGTTTGAAGTCAGGTAGCGTGATGCCTCCAACTTTGTTCTTTTTGCTTAGTATTGTCTTGGCTATACAGGCCCTTTTTTGGTTGCATAGGAAATTTAAAGTATTTTTTTCTAATTCTGTGAAGAAAGTCAATGGTAGCTTGATGGGGATAGCATTGAATCTATAAATTACTTTGGGCAGTATGGCCATTTTCA